AAAGTTTAACATTGTGATGAATAAACTCTTAAATGCAGATGTGTCTTCATTATTTTACTGAATTAGATAGTGTGGATTTATTTTTAATTACTTTATACTGCATTGTGTTCTGTTGTCTATTAACTACTATAGTCTCAACATTTGTCAACTGAAAGGTTGAGGGGAATTTTTGATATTACCAGAGGTGGGTAGAGTACCAAAAATACTTAAGGAAGAATAGCAATACTTGATCCTATTATAACTCAAGTAAAAGTGTTAAGTATCCTTTAAAGACATCAGTCAAGTAAAGGTAAAAAAGTATTTCGTAATCTTTCTTCTACCCATGATAACTGATTTAATTTTTTTGTAGTTATAATACCTTCTGAATCAATAGTTAATTATTGATTCAGTAAGTATTATAACTTTTATTACAGTATGTAAAAGGTTAATTGAGAATAGACTGTTTACTGTATTATCACTCAACCTCCAAATGACACGGCAGGTTGAAAACAACATTTAACCAATAAGCCTTGAATACAAAAAAGACTAAAATTGTCACTCAGTGGTGCTTGTTTAGAACAACTTGTTTTAATTAAGTGAAGTTACTCAGTGGTTGGATTAGCCAGAAGTTTGGTACTTTATCATATTTTTACTCAAGTAAAAGTGAAATGCTGTAAAACTACTCCTAAAAGTGAATTTCTAAGAAAAAGTTAGTGAAGTAAATGTAACTAGTAATTATCCAGCTATAGATATTATTATTTGTAATTACTGTTATCCCAGTTATTTAGCTGGGAGCTCATGTTAGTAAGAACCTTTAAAAAGACCTAAAGTAGTTTATGTTAAAAAAAATATGCTAAAAACACTTTCTAGCAAAAGCGAAACATGTGTTATATTAATGTCCCTGCTCTGATAATGTGTATAAATAAATTACGCTTTGCCTTGAAAATTTGTTTTGCTTTGAAAGTTTTTTTCCTCCTGTGTAACCATTGTTTCTTCCAGATCCATGTGTAGAACAGAGGTCATAATTTTATGCTTTGTATAATAATTTGTTACAAATAGAATACATTTGTATTAATTTATTTTTTACTCCTCGTCTTCCACTTTATCCAGGAATGGGTCACTGAGACAGGAGTCTCAGCAGACTTTCCCCTCCTCGAGCTCTGCTGGGGGAAGCATGAGGGGCTCCCAGGCCAACAGAGAGACATAGTCCCTCCATGGGGTCCTGGGTCGTCCCCTGGGCCTCCTTCTAGGGGACCATAGGTGAAAGTAGTAACGTATACCGATCGGTAAATGGAGAGCTTGGGCTTTTTGCTCAGCTTTCTCTTCAACATGAAAGACCAGCGTCTGTTATAGCAGCAGCCAAACTGAACCAGCTATCGATTTAATGCTCCATTCTCCTCTCACTCGGGATTAGGACCTCAAGAAACCTGAACTCTACTTGAGGCAGGAACTCTCCTCCAACCTGAAGAGAACAAGCCACCCTTTTCAGGTCAAGAACCATGGCCTCGGACTTAAAGGAGCCGATTCTCATCCCTGCTGCTTCACACTCTGCTGCAAACCACTCCAGTGCATGCTGTAGGTCTTGGTAGGAAGGAGCCGGCAGAGAAAAGTCATCAAGCAGGGAGAAAAAAAACAAACTTTCAACCCCTAAACTATACACCCTCTGGCTCTTGGCTGCACATAGAAATCCTGTCCATACAGGTTATGAACAGGACAGGTGACAAAGGGTAGCCCTGTCAGAGTCCAACATGCACTGAGAACAGGTCCGACTTAATGCCGGCAACATGGGTCAACTTATGCTGCGCTTGTACAGAGACCTGATCCAATTCAGCTTTGGAAAATGTAGAACAAAATGAGCCCTTCGTTGATGCAAACTCATTTGCTGTAAATCGACATGCACTGTGATGATTAACTTAGGAAAAGGATTAGAGTATTTTTCCCCCTGGGCCCGGACACTGATGGTGCATTAAGCCAGAGGACAAATGGGACAGAGAATAGTCTGAGAGGGAGGGAGGAAAGGGAGCGGAGTTGGTTAAAGTTCAGCTGATAAGAAGGATGAGGAGCTATATAAAAGAGATTGTGTGCGATAATTGTCTTCAGAGGTGGGCCGTCCCAACGTCTATTGGCTGTAGCTCTGTACGTGGCAAAGCTTCAGGTGATCCAGGTGAGGCAGATAAGAGACTTCCAGATTGAATTTTGGCTTAAGCTTCATAACACAATAAAAGTTACTTTTTGAGTCAATAATCAATCATTTTTTCCCCAAAATAGTTTGTCTTCATTTTTCAGAATTCAGCATTTTATAAGGAACTCATTTAAGTTCAGATAATATCTAATAACAGTTAGATTCACTCTAAAAACCCAAATTTATTTGGACAAATTAGATTTTTTTAAACCTCTTTAAATTCTGCCTTTCTTTTTGCCACAGTAAAATTGCTCTCATATTAAAAAAGCCCCTTTAATTAAATTACAATCTTAAAATTTTATCTTACATTTGGCATAATTCGCTCAACATGTAGCACAACATTTTTATGGAAGACAGAGAATATATACTTTAGCTTTAAGTGATACATATGTAAATTACAGATCACTGGAGAGATACACTGATCACAAATTCAACATCATTTAGCACTCGTATAGATTCAGTTGTAATTATTCTACCAAATCTTAAACATTTAAATACAGAAAGAAGGAGCTCCCGATTGATGTATCACATAAGTAGGTGAAACTCAGTCTCTGTTTATCATCATTTATCCATGCAGTACATTAGTGAACTTGTTTAGGCTTACAGGACGCAGAAGAATAAATGAATGAATATTACATTGACACGTTTTACATTGATCTTGTTCAAATCCCTAAAAAAAGGCATTAAATCCTGAGAATCCTAAGAGTTAAAAAAGAAAACATTAGGTTCTTGGTGAGTTTTTACAAAATTGATCACAAACATACCCATTTATTAAAAAAAGAAAATTAAATGAATTGCTTGAATTGGTAACAAGTGATTCAATCAAGTTAATTCAATTTATTTTTACCATTTAAAGCAAAACATTTAAGCTGAATCAGCATTGTCTTTCTAGAATCTAAAAGATTTCAAATTTGTTTACTTCTATAGTTCAGAGGCAATTAAATCAGATTATACATTCGTTTGGGTAAAACCGCTTCTATCAAAGGAAACCCAGCTGAAACCACTGCCCTCCTGGATGAAAATGTTTGACAGATATTTCTGTAACTTTGTAGATGTATGGAGAGGCATTGATTCTTGATCAGTTTCCTTTCACTCATTTAAAGAGACGGTTGTGATATTTCGTGGGAGTAAGTCCCATTTATCCATTGACGGAGGATGATTCTCCCAGTCAGGCCGCAGAGGAGGGTTGCTCAAAGCCATCAGGCAGCCAAGCCAATAACATTCAGAGCCCAAATACTCCCACACCTCCTGGGGATTTCCTCCAGGAAAGGTTCTCTGTGGACAATGAGTAATTAAACACATTTATTTTTTTATTTGGAATGAAAAAGTAGTAACCCATGAACAGTAGATAAAAGTCTGCGTTTGGTGTGAAAATCACCTGTAAAGAAGCACCTTGTCTCTCATTGTAGAGAGTCAGCTGCAGGTTCTGGATGGTTAACTGTCGGTACTGATCAACCTAAGAGAACAAAGCTCAGTTCAGACGCATCAGGAACAAAAAGATGGATTTAAAGAATGCTTCATTACCTTTTGTGGTGCTCCTGGAGCATTTTTCACATTTGTTTCATATACTTTATCTACCAACATTTTCCTTTGTTTCATTTCCTCTTTAGCCTCTCTGAACTTTTTCTGGCATTAGGAGAGAAAATGAGACAAGTTGGAACAAAAAGGAGGAAGCATTTTGCTGGAGATATTATGAATCTATATTTTGAATTTAATGAAAACAGATCTGTACCTGAATCAGCTCTTTGGCAGAGTCTGGATGTGTCTGGTTTGACTTTAAGCTGTTTTTGATTTTTGGCCAGTCGCATCTCAGGGAGTCATACATCTCCTTTAACCTGGTCTTATTTACTGGGTTGTTAAGGCTCATGGTTTTCCCTGTTTTGATTGACAGAGCAACATCCCCTGCCACTCTGTAAAAATTACAAAAACAATTATATATATAAAAATCTAACAAATCAGCTAACATGACATTTTTGTGGTGAGGAAGTAATTTTAACTGACAGTCTCACTATGGAAAAAGTAGAAGGAAACTTGTACTTTACCTGTCCTTAAAGGATTTTAGTTCTTCATCTTTTTCTTTTAGAGCAGACCTGTGCAATAAAATTGATCACTTGTAACACATATCATCAATTGTAATGTATTTTTTCAAAGATCTAAACAAACATTTTTCAAATGACCACAGTTATAAAAAGTTAAAATGTCAAAACTTGTTGTTTTAAAGATTTTTGACCATCACACCTGCCTTTGAAAAGTCTTTTGTTTAAATAAATAAAACAGTATGGTCTGGTTAGGATGAGGAAATGCTGCACAATCAATAATCCAGTGCATTTGTCTGAGCTTTCTAAGATATTTGACATTCAGTTATCAGCCAAATCTTACTTCTTTTGTCATTTTACATAGACTTTNTCAGGCCGCAGAGGAGGGTTGCTCAAAGCCATCAGGCAGCCAAGCCAATAACATTCAGAGCCCAAATACTCCCACACCTCCTGAGGATTTCCTCCAGGAAAGGTTCTCTTTGGAAAATGAGTAATTAAACACATTTATTTTTTTTATTTGGAATGAAAAAGTAGTAACCCATGAGCAGCAGATAAAAGTCTGCGTTTGGTGTGAAACCCACCTGTAAAGAAGCACCTTGTCTCTCATTGTAGAGAGTCAGCTGCAGGTTCTGGATGGTTAACTGTCGGTACTGATCAACCTAAGAGAACAAAGCTCAGTTCAGACGCAGCAGGAACAAAAAGATGGATTTAAAGAACGCTTCATTACCTTTTGTGGTGCTCCTGGAGCATTTTTCACATTTGTTTCATATAGTTTATCTACCAACATTTTCCTTTGTATCATTTCCTCTTTAGCCTCTCTGAACTTTTTCTGGCATTAGGAGAGAAAATGAGACAAGTTGGAACAAAAAGGAGGAAGCAGTTTGCTGGAGATATTATAAATCTATATTTTGAATTTAATGAAAACAGATCTGTACCTGAATCAGCTCTTTGGCAGAGTCTGGATGTGTCTGGTTTGACTTTAAGCTGTTTTTGATTTTTGGCCAGTCGCATCTCAGGGAGTCATACATCTCCTTTAACCTGGTCTTATTTACTGGGTTGTTAAGGCTCATGGTTTTCCCTGTTTTGATTGACAGAGCAACATCCCCTGCCACTCTGTAAAAATTACAAAAACAATTATATATATAAAAATCTAACAAATCAGCTAACATGACATTTTTGTGGTGAGGAAGTAATTTTAACTGACAGTCTCACTATGGAAAAAGTAGAAGGAAACTTGTACTTTACCTGTCCTTAAAGGATTTTAGTTCTTCATCTTTTTCTTTTAGAGCAGACCTGTGCAATAAAATTGATCACTTGTAACACATATCATCAATTGTAATGTATTTTTTCAAAGATCTAAACAAACATTTTTCAAATGACCACAGTTATAAAAAGTTAAAATGTCAAAACTTGTTGTTTTAAAGATTTTTGACCATCACACCTGCCTTTGAAAAGTCTTTTGTTTAAATAAATAAAACAGTATGGTCTGGTTAGGATGAGGAAATGCTGCACAATCAATAATCCAGTGCATTTGTCTGAGCTTTCTAAGATATTTGACATTCAGTTATCAGCCAAATCTTACTTCTTTTGTCATTTTACATAGACTTTATCTTTGGATTTCTCTAAAATTAACTGATTTCCATTTGAGATCATTAGAAGCGTATTTGATATATAGATTAGAACTTTTACATGTAAATTGTCTGCAGTTGATATTAGATGTGAATTTAAAATAGCATTTAATATTGTTTATACAGTATCAACCCAATATTTGTCAAATATAGTTTAAAACTTACTGAAAGAAAAATTGATAGAAATAAGTTAATGAGGCTGATTGCATTTAAAAATGTATTCTTGACATCTTCAGTTATAGTATTGATATAACATTTAAGATGTAACAGCTTTTCAAATGAATTACAAAAAACAAATATATTTACCTTGTTCTTTGAAGCTGTGCTTCCATCTCATGCATCCTTTTTTAAATTAGCAGAG